TTTTTTTTTTTTTAACCGAGCTATCAACTAATAAATAAATAAGCTCTCTCCCCCAAATAAAAAAAACCTAGCCGACGCCGTCTACCTTTCGCCGCCACCTCCTTCCTTTCGGACTCTCAGTCAGCCCCGCGTCGACCGTCATCGATCCGCAAAGCCGGCCCCCCTAGGCGTTGAGGTCCCAGCCAGGCGTAGGGCTCATTGCTTCAAGGTTGCCTTTGCTCTCAAGCGGTACCAGAGGCGTTGAGTTGGGGCTGCGCGGCGAGCTCCGATCGGGTTCCCAGCGCCTGTCGGAGCTGAGGTTCGGTTCCTCTCCCCTTTTACCCTTCGGTCGCCTCCTTGCTTTGTGTTGCAACTTGGTCGGTCGACCTTGTTAGGCTTTCGGCTTGTGGGGCCACTTCTGTCCGGAGGTTTTTGGGTGGAGTCGGTTGAGGGAGTGCGGCTGGGATGAGTCGTTAATGTAGAACGTGAATGACGGAAGAGAATAAAAGAGAACTCACACACGAGAACTCACGAAAAAACAGATTTCTTTTTATTATTCCTCAATCAACAGATCGTCTAATTGTGAGATAAAGACAATATATAGGCTAAGACCCCAAAAACCTCTAACTTCCTATACAAGATAAATTCCATAAATAATTACTCTTCTAATCCTAAAAAACTTGAAATAAAGAAACCTAATAATAATAAGAATAAAAGCCATTAGATAATTAATTAAGCTTCAACATCCAATTGTATTTGTCCAAAAAAGCCATCGCGAGCTCGTCTCCATCATCCTCCTCCGCTTGAGAAGGATTCGCCCTCGAATCTGGAGGGAGCTCATCTCCGTCGGAGTCGTCGGCATGCCAAGGAGCCAACTGTGCCACGTGAAAAATGTCCAACAAACACACATAAGAGGGCAAGCTAAGACGATAGACATCCGGAAGGATTCGATCGATAACCTCGTAAGGGCCTATGTGTCAGTCTTCGGGGAAACAACCCACACAAAGTCACAAAGCAAACACCACCGAATGATCGTCCAATGAACCATACACCTCTTCACATGCCCCGCCACAGGAAAGAAATAAAGCCGCCTGTGGGGACACCGACATCGAATGGGAAGCTGCAGGATGCAAAACCAAGCAGACACCGTCAAATGTAAACTCATACGTCTTAAGGCGCCAATCATGCACTACGGCTTGATCAAACTGCCAAGGACGCCCTAACAAAAGGAGTCACACATCCATAGGAACAATGTCACACCGTACCGCATCCTTATATGAAGAGTCGATAGAAAGAGGAACCAAGACACGACGTGTAACAAAGACAGTCTTGTCACGTTGTATCCACGCGAGAGAGTAGGGATCCGGATGCGGTTCACTCACCAACCCCAATTTCTGAACGGCTTCTACCGAAATCACATTCTCGTAGGAGCCAGAATCTATCACAAAACGGCACTTCGTCCGCCAATAATGCACGTAGAACAAGTATGTGACCCACGTCCCCTGAGACATGCACCACTGAAACCTCCGGCTCATACCTCAAAAAGGTATCGCCGATGACTCTCATCGTTGGAAGAAATGTGGGGAGACAAAAGGGATCAATGTAGGACAAGTGTGCGACCCACGTCCCCCAAGACATGCACCACCGGAACCTTCAGCTCTTTATAAAAAATCAGAGGGCCATCATACTCGCCGGGCTCCATCTCCTCAACAATTCAAGCCCGTGACCCCTTTGACTTCGGAAACTGGGCCTGCCAGTGACCCGATTCATAATAGAAGAAGCAACGTTGCCCGCCAGACTGTCGACTGTTGCCCCCAAACCGTTGCACCAACAGACACTGCTCCAACATCTGGTTGACTGTTCGACCCAGTCGGCGTCATAACCACTGTCCTCGGAAGCTCCTTAGTATACGGTGCAGACAAAGCACTACCTTTTGTGTATGTTGTTCTTCGAGCGACAATGCTCGCAGGTGCCGCATCAGAAACTGAATCGAGAACAACCATTTTAAGCATATCTTGGAAAGCAACACGATAACTGCCCACATACCTCAAAACCAATTGACCCGACGTCTCACGAATCTCCACACGAGTCAAGAGGCGGTAAAATTCTTCCGTGTACTCATCCACAGAACGAGCACCTTGCCTTAAATTCTGGAATTGTTGATAAACAAAATGAGCATAATTAAACGGTAAAAATTCACGTTCTAAGTGCTTACAGAATTTAATCAAGTTGAGAATTTTGGTTTGTCTAGACGATGTCGCATACTTTTAAGTTATAACCACCAAGCGGTCGCACGGCAGCGAAGCCTCGTCGCGACAAGCGCGACACGTTGATCATCGGGGACACCTTTAAATTCGAGCACAGAGTCAATGGCGGCCCAACAATCTTAAAATTCTACAACACGAAGACCTCCAGAAAACTCGAGAATATCGACCCCAAACCTTTGCACCAACGCGACGAGCCGCAACCATCCAACACGTGACCCAAAGCTCGTCGTTGTTGCTCCTTGCCGGTGAGGTCCCGACCATCGTCCAAGCCCCAGTCCTGGCAAAACTGCTTGCCCGCAATGAATCACGGTCTTTCGCGATGCTGCCGTCCATCCCCCGCAACATAGCCAAAACTCGCGCGCCGGAGCCCACCATCTCTGCTCTGATGGTCGTTGTCGGCGAAGTCGTACCGTCGTGTTTATAAACCCAGTCCCGTCATAAATAGGCATCATCGTGAGGGTCGGCTCGCTTGCACTGGCAAACCCTAGCCCACTGCATCTGGTCGCCGTCCGCCATGAAAGGTTCCCCAAGCCGCCGACCATGGCCACCGTGCTCGTCGAACTCCTCGGCGCCTCGTTGAAGTTTTCTTTCGCCGAAAGTATTGACCATAGATATGGTCTCCTCGTCATCCTCATAGTCGTCGGGCAGAGACTGAGGTGAACGCTGGTGGGGCACCCCGCCAAAGTCACGTCAACCATGACCCCCGCGACACCCTCCGCGCGCGTCCCGATCGCTGACGTTACGATTCATACGCACCTTCTCCATCAATGTACGCATAGCCAGATGTAACTCCTCCATTCCCATACACAGGCCGCAAATCGATCCTCCATCCCTTGAATCTGATCGTCCATTTGTTGCAATCGGTCGTTGACGGTGGTGTTGTTTGTAGCATTTCCTTTCTTCGGCGGCATCGTGGATCGTCGCTGGCCTCTGGATACCAAGTGATATAGAACGTGAATGATGAAAGGGAATAAGAGAAAACTCACACACAAGAACTCGCGAAAGAACAAATTTCTTTTCAATATTTCTCGATCAATAGATCGGCTAATGCTGAGAAAAAGACAATATATAGGCTAAGACCCAAAAAAACCCTAACTTCATAGACAAGATAAATCCAATAAAATAGTTATTCTTCTAATACCAAAGAACTTAAAATAAGGAAACCTAATAATAATAAGAATAAACGCCATTAGATAATTAAGTAAGCTTTGGCATCCAATCATATTTGTTTAGAAAAGCTATCGCCAGCTCGTCTCCATCAGTCGTCCTCCGGAGAAGATTGCGATCTTCTGATACGGTTCCATCTAGTCGTGGTTCACTGGAGCCAGAGTCCTATTTGTGTGGACGGCTATCTCTGGGTCGGGTTGATGCGTTTGCGGTTTGTTGCGCCGGTTGGAATGTGGGTGTTATTCTAATTTGTTAGTGATGTTTTGTGTTGTGTTGTGTTGTTGCCTATATTTTTTCTGCGTATTTTCTTTATGTTGTTTGTTTTGTTGGTGCTTCTCCTCTTGTTAAGGGCTTATTCTTCTATAGTAGGAGCTTATTCTCCTCTTAGGAGCTTTTGTCCCGTTTTAGGTGTTTTTTAGTTAGTGTGTGTCTTTTGGGTGAGT